CAGGGCAGTGCTACTGACTGAAGTTGTCTTTAGGCCATTCCAAAGGGGGGATATTAACGTGTTCTTATGCACGGTAGAATTGTGAATGGGCTGATTTATCAATGTCATGCTCATACTGTGCTGAAACAACATAGAGTGGAACTGCTGCTTTTTCTTTCTTCATCTTTACTATCGTCTTTTTTCCTCTGCTTCTTTTGTATGTTTGTCACTCTCTTTGTGAACTGCTATTTCCGAGGTTCCTTGATAGTCGAAGCAGATTTTGTGCTGTTGAGGCTTGTGAGGTGAGCAGAGTAATTAAGCCTGATTCCCTGTTTCGACTTCTCTGTTGACATCCACCCCTTGGCGCTCATATGGACTTATGCAGTTGTGAGCGCTGTAAAACCTTTCTAATTCTAAATGCTGTGTATATTTGTGTTGTGGTAAAAAAATCTGTAAGTTTTGTCTGAACATTATAAAATACAATAGCTCATCAATACATTGTGATGCTTAAGATTAAACACCATTATCGTGAATTTAGTGCAGTGTACATTTGTTGAACCTTTTGAGTATTCAGAATTGTGCTGTGTTGGGTAACTGGATCAGTTGATATATATATGACTTGACACAATATGTGATATGGTCTCATGAATTTTTGTCCCCAATAATCACGTGATAATGAACCTAATTCCTTTACCTAATTGTGGCTCAAACCTTGGTACTAGAGGAGACTGGAAGATATTATTATTATTTTTATTATACATAATGTGATTGTTTTTGAAAGTTATTGTTATTATTATTATCATTATCATTATTATTTTATTATTATTTTTTAAATTATTTTTTTTCTTATTATTATTATTATCATTACTATCATTAGTAGTAAAATCCCCATTCTGTGAACGGAACAATAATTTTATTGTATTATACTTTTAAAATAATTTTCCTTCTTCTGTCTATTCCCTTCCTCTCTGTCTTTCTGCTTGACTTTTCTCAGTCATTCTCTGAGTTGTTATCTCTTCTTTCTCTTTGTAAAAGTAGTCTCTGTCAATTTCAAGACGAAAAAATCCTATGCAGTGGAGAATGGAACCCTGGTCTCTCATGTGATAGGCCGAATACTTACTTAGATTCTTGCTTCTGTACAACCGAAGACTGCGGACTTGTTATATAATATCCTAGACTGTGTACTGCCATGGCTACTGCATATGCACCTTATGTGAGGTAGCGTGGTGAAATCAGGCGTTCGTCAAAAAAATGAAATCGAGGAAAAAGGGATATTTTTCTTCCAATTTGGCAATTTTTGTTGAATTTTCATTTTTTGACTCAACACCTTTTGTGTCCTTTTAAAAACAATTTGCTGAGTGGCTTTCACTGAAAAATGTTGATTGAAGGCACTCAAAAAAATGTAAATTTAGTTTCCTATGAATCTCAAGCTTTGGAAGTCACCAAACTTTGGCGGCCATTTACTCTCTCAAGTTACTCTGAAACCAGGTGATCCCCACCTCCTTCAGCCCAAAATATCTCGACTTTCATTGAAGATAGATGGATAATTTTTTCATCAAAAGTAGGAAAAATGAACCAGCTTTAAGATGATACCAATAACTCCATAGGCCCAAAAACTGATGAACGCTTAATTCCACCACGTCATGACAAATACTCGTATAAGCGCCCAGGTGAAGGGCAAAAACTCCAATTTTGCTGTAGTCGAGTGCGCATAATACTTACTCCCCTTGCCCTTCAGTTGGCTCTAATTGGAGTCAAATGATGGGTTCCACGGTGAACTGGAATTAAATAATAATAACAATAATAAATAGCATTTGTATGGCGCATATCCCCGCTCAACAGCAGGCTCTAGGCGCTTTACACTATATTATTACCCCAGCAGACCATAGAACACTCCGAAACTTTCTCAGCTTCCTGGGAAGCATACAGTGCAAGCAGCTGATTAAGCGCTCAAACACTAACAAACTGACAAGATCTTTCGCTGTCTATGGCCGGGTACCCATTCCCACTTGGGTGAAGTGAGGAAAATTTGTGTAAAGTGCCTTTCCCAAGGACACAACGTCGGGTCCCTGACGGGATTCGAACCCACGACCTTACGGTACGAGAGCCTAACCACTAGGCCACCGATGCCACATTAGGGTACATCGGTGACCAAGGGTAATATACGTTTCTTTGCCGAGAACGCACTCCCTTTGCTGCAAAATACAAGTTAAGTTGTTTACTTCATGTTTACATTAGAGCTGTTTGTTGATGCGCCCAGATTTTTAAAAAATCATGTTTCGTCAATTTTAAAAGCAACTTCTGTTGCTCTTCCCCATGCCCACATTATTATTATTATTATTATTATTAATATCACCACTAATACTTTGATTATCGTTGTTGTTGATGTGAAAATAAGTCTTTTTTTCTTTTTTTTTTGTTTAGAATATTGTGTGTAGAGCACAGAATTCTACACTTAGTAGTACTTCTACAGTGTAGAATTCTGTGGTGTAGAGCATTCTTTTTCTCTGGGTTGCCTTCAACTTGGCCGTAAATACCACAAGAGCTGAGATAGTAACAGTACTAATTGTAGAGTGAAACTGAGTGGACAATAGTAAATTATTAGTGATGTAAAAGTAATAGTAAATTATTAGTGATGTAAAAGTAATAGTAAATTATTAGTGATGTAAAAGTAACATGCTATCTCAGGTGTTTATTTGAGTAACATAAAAAAGTAACATCGAAGTAGCGAGGAGACAGAGGAATGGGAGGAAAGAGAGGATAGATGGAGAGGGGAGGGAGATGTGATGCAGTGGGATTGGATTGGAAGAGAGGGAGGCTAGAGTGTGGGGGATGAGGGGGGGGGGGGGGGGGAGGTGGAGAAAAGTGCTTTGGTTTTCTCTTGCTTTATTATAAAGAATGTGTTCCTTGGTTCTCCCCCCCCCCCCCCCCCCTCTTCATGGCAGCTTAAGCAATTGCTCAAGACTCATATGTTTAGTTCTTAGTTGTAGTTTGTTAGTAAGTGCTGGTATGTTGTTTTTTTTTACTGCTGTCATTACGTGTATTTAATTAATGTATGGTTGTGAAAGTTCTTCTTTATGTGGTTGAACTGGTTTTTCTTGTTTTTCTGAAATGATTTCTCTCAGTGATCATGTGATTGATGTAAAGTGCTCAGAGCTTATACTAGTATGGGATATAGGGCTATATATGGTATCTATTATTATTATTATTAAGAGTAATTCGCTTTTCTCTTAATTTTTTTCTTCAGGCGTTTCTTCAGATCTGCCTCAACGAGGACACCATGGAAAGGGAGGAAGATGTGCTTGTTTCAGGTACACAGGGGTCATCAAAACAACTTTTCATTTCTTGAGGGGGAGAGGAATGAATTCAGGGGGTTGTTGGGGAGCAGTGTGTGTGTGGAAGGGGGGAAATTGGGGGGGGGGGGGGTTCCGGGCAGGGGGGTCCCCAAAATCAACTCTAGCGCAGATAACCTGGACATGCAATACCTTCATTTCACAAACAGCTTGAATCGAACAGTATGCCATTCTTTGACTGAACTGCAATATTTTTTTTGTATTCTTGAACCCCTGCATGAATGTATTGAACAGCTCATTAGAACGCTTGATTAAATTTGTCCACACAATTGTCTCAAATTCTAATTGTTCTGTGTGCATGATGAAAAACAAACTTGTCGTCATCAAAAGTATCATGTTAGACATGGTCCCATGGGGCTTTCCCCCCCCTCAGTATGATACACACTTTGCTTGTTTTGCAATGCATCATCACACATTACCTGTAGGGAGCATGACGTGCTAGGTCTTTCTTGGATCTAGTCATGTGAGGGTTGGTTTGGGTTGCTAGGGTGTTAAAGGAAGACCGATAGCAGGTGGTCAAAACTGCGAGTGCTGGTGCATCAAAAATGCTGACAGAAAAGATAAAACAGCAGCATCGTGAACGATGTCATTTTTTCAATACCCCGTTTCAAATTTGCAAATAAAAATATGCTCATATAGTGCTGTGTTATTTCATTTTTCATGCTTGTTTCATCAAAACTTAAGTTAAAATTACTTCAAAAGTGGACGTGCAAAGTGCAAACTGACATTGTATTGGAAATAATACCAGTGCCTTTCTAATTGGGTACTCCCTTTTCAACGACACAATGTAGATAGTGTAGGTGGCTCGGGGCTACCATGGGCTGAGAGAGGTAGAGCAGCTCAACAGACAGATGTAGAGACTAAGGCTGGGCAATGAGTCGCTTTAGCAAAATCTGGATACTGTGTTACTGCACCTCGTGGGCTAATAATATGATATGAACCGCTTCGGCAAATGGGTTAGAACCACTTCGACAAATTATGAGTACACCCACTTCGACAAACGGGTCAGGAAAGAGAGTTAAGAGTCTGAATTCAGATAATGTTTCATTGGGAATTTATTCGGTTATCCTTGTAGATTATCCGGATTTTGCCCACCTCTAGTAGAGACTCAAAAACTCCCCACACGGGAACTGAACTCACATCTTCAGTGTGCAAAGAGCCTAACAGTTACATCACAGAACCTACTTTAGCAATCCCTTCATCTGATTAAGCAGCAAGAAAGCAATGGTGTACTGTGTGGAGCCACTGTTTTACTTTAACTTGAAGACTTTCCCATCTGGGACCTTAATCATAAAATGTATTTATGGCCATTACACATCTTCTGATCTTATAAAGAATATGTCATGACTTGAACTGCCGGTTAAAGAATGCACCTCTAGTTGTTCCTTAAGATCTGGCTCTGAGAATCCAGAAGGAAGAGAAGGATACTTGAAATTGTAATCGTCTGTATTTGACTGCTTGATTTCAGTTGGTGACGAAGGTGTATATGCAGATTCGTCATCACAGGATAATATACCCCCTGGACGTTCACCTCCTGGAAATGCACCTTCAGGGCAAAGCTCTCCACAGGGAAAGACCCCTGGGACAAAGATGTCATCGTTTGTCAACACAGTGATGGCAAATGGCCTGCTAATGCTTAACCTCTTTGGAGGCAGGTCCAATCAGCTTCAGTATTCGAAAAGTAAGGGAAACTTACATTTTAAGATAAGGCCGGCAGTAAACAAGAAGAGGATTGGAGTGGGTGCTGAAATATACATTGATGTGTCATTCTTTACTGATTTCATCCCGAAGGCTTTGGAAAGATTTTTAGAATTGTTTCGTAAAAAAGTATGAGTTGTGATATATTGCACACAGTGTTTTTAAGCTGGCTAGATTTAATCAGTAATGACTGACATTCTCAATATAGTTGGACCCCCTTATAATTGTCTGTTTTAACAGGGTTTCGGCTCTATAGCAGGCTTATAATAAATCACAGAGTCCATTCTCTCATAATATAGAGTAAAAGATTTTTTTTTGTAACAGGGATTCGGACAGACATGCTTGGATACCAGATATAACAGTTGTCCAAGCTTTGACAAAATCCTAAAATAAATTATGGATGGACAAGAAAGCAGAAAAAATGCAAATGAAGCAAAACAACTTATTTAACAACAGCCGCCATTGATGGAGCATTATACTTGCGTGACCCGAAGTTGATTGTGTACACATTAATTTATGAAGTGTCATACTCATACCATGCGTGCAGGGGAAGGGATGGGGGGTATGGATGCGCCTACGTGTTGGTGCAAGTCCAGTCCGTGTAAATTGGTAGGGGTTGCAATCTTCTTTTCATCAAAGATGAGGAAGAAGAGGTTGTTAACTCCTACAAATGTCTTGGAGCAGCCATCGACAGAAGACTAGACTGGCATCCCCACCCTGCTCTTGTGCATAAAAAATTAAATGTGAGGCATCGTAATGAAATCAGGCACTCGTCAAAATAATGAAATCGAAGAAAAAAACATTTTTCCACGTGTTTGGAAATTTTATAGAAATTTAGTTTTTTGGCTAAACACCTTTTTTATGCTCACATGAAAACACATATGCATGTGAAATTTACTGAAAAACCTTGTTTTAAGGCACAAAATATGTAATTTTCAGTTTATTTAAGGACTCTTAAGCTACTAAAGTTATCAAACTTTGGCGGCCATTTTCTCATAAATTTAACCTCTGAAACTGGGCTACCCCACCTTCTTCAACCGCAAATAACTCGACTTATATTCAAGCTAGATGGATATTGTTTTCATTGAAAGCAAGGCAAATAAATAAGCTTTCAGATGCTATCAATAACTCCACATGCCCAAAAATTGATGAGTGCCTGATTCCACAGTGTCGTGACACAAAGAATGTTCTTTTTAAAGAAATCAAGTTTTCATGTTAATAATATTATGATAAATATATCACTACCTTGGGTGTTGTTGTTTTGTATTTGCTTCTGGGCTGGAGACTCAAGGGTTCAAGACAATGAAAAATTTGACTGAATCCTAAAGAAAGCCAGCAAGAACTCTGGATATGATTATAATACAATTGAAAATATTTAAGATCACCAGTATGAAGAAAATAAACAGCATTATATATATATACGACCCATCACACCCACTTTCCGCACAAATTGCAAGATCACACAGCAGCAGATACGTACCACTAAGACTAGCATCTGCGTTTGTCGTGGCTGCAATTTTTGGCATTTTGTGGTCCACGAATCGTGGCTGCGATTTTTGCATCCTCCTCCCCCCACCCCCCCCCCCCCCCCCCGAATACACCGTCGGGGCATAATAAATCTAACACCCCCCCACCCCCCCCCACCCCCACCCGGCGAATAAAACTAGAAAATAGAAACCGAACCTTTTGACTTTTAAAAAGGAAGTTTATTTTCACCTCCGCTTCACTTCGTTTCCCTCTTTGTTGGGTTTTAATTTTTTGGTGTGTTAATTTTTTTTCTTGTTAATGATCTAATATGTAGTTTTTCTTTTTTTCTGTGTTTATATAGCGTGATGTTATTTAATTTGATGTTGTTCCTACCTTTTTTAAAATATAAATTATAAACATGTGTTATGTTAGAGACCGAATCCTAAAGAAACCAAAACCAAATCCTGACACTTGCAGGCCCTTTGTGTGTGATTCCATAATTTACATGTAATATCCTGACTTTTTCCTGAAGCACATACGTTAAGGGTTGAAACGGCCAGTCTTCGGATAGGCGGACACACGCCCTTATTAGTTAATTTTTGTGGTTGTTTATGTGCTCTTCTAATTTTGATTTCATTCTGTTGTGAAACCTTTATTTCACAAGACTCTTTTAGGTTTATTTGGAGAGCATAAGTCTCTGCCAGAGCATGCCTCTCCTCGAGTGCAAAGATATAGATAGGCCATTACTCTTGCAGCTTATGATTACCAATTAAAGTACAGGCCTGGCGCCCGGAACAGTGCAGATGCACTGAATCGTTTACCTCTCTAGAAGATGTTCCGACTATGTACCTCAAGAAATTGAAATGTTATTCAGTGCCATTGAAAACTCAAGTGTGAATGCAAGTGATGTTGCAAAAGAGACAGAAAGTGATGAATGTCTGAGGAAACTACATGAGTACTGTTTGCATGGTTGGCTGAGAGAGAGAGAGAGGGGTATATGAAAGCCTTAAACCTTCCTAACCTAGGAAGCTGGAACTCAGTCTTGAGAATGGATGCATTTTGTCGGGATCAAGGGTAATCATACCAAAAACCTTGTAAAATGAGATACTTACCATGTTACATGACACGCATGTAGGAAGCTCTAAAATGAAGTCTTGCTCGTTCATGAATCTGGTGGCCAAACATGGATGCAGACATTGAGAAAATTGTGAAGCTTTATAGCACAGGTGCTAAACATTCCAAACAACCTGCAAAAGCATTACTGGAATTGGCCCACAGAACCTTGGAAGAGATTCCATATTAACTACGCAGACCCTTTTCAAAACAAAATGTTTCTAATAGTCATTGATGCCTACTCCAAGTGGCTACTAGAAGTAAAAGTCATGAACACAATCACCACAGGAAATATTTTCCTACCATGCCCTACCAGACCAATGTCTCTGATAATGGTCCAAACTTTACCTCTCAAGAATTCAAATTGTTTTGTGCATTAAGCACATAACCACTGTGCCATATCATCCAGCCAGTAATGGCTTGGCAGAGAAGGCTGTTGGCACCTTCAAAAGTTCCATGATTAAAATGGGTAACAAGCTTTCTCTTCGAGAAAGAGTGAACAGATTTTTAACTATATATCGTGTCACTCCACATGTCGCAACAGGCTTAGCTCCTTGTGAGCTACTTTGTGGTAGAAAACTAAAAACACACCTTGATATTCTCCACCCAACAGTACAACACTCTGACATACAGCACCAGCAATCACAAAAACTCAATCATGACAAAACAGCCAGGGAAAGAGAGATGAGGATGGGTGACAGTGTGTATGTCAGAGACTTTGGAAAGGGTGAGAAATGTTGCGTGGATTATTGAATGTTCAGGTCTGGTATCGTACAAAATTAGAAAAGCCCAAGGAACACTGGTACGCAGACATGTAGATCAAATCAAATTAACAGGTGCTGAAAATAAAAGTATGAATCAGTCACCCCCACACAGGATGACCGGTCCATGCCAAATGTGCAGTCTGCGCCTAAACGCAAATAGACCTGTGAGTGTTGAGTTGGATAAGCCAAATTCAGAAGCCATTGAACCCGAAAACGGCAACCCAGTCATAATAATAATATTTGATCATGAAAATGTGCCCACAGCATTTGATCAAAGTACATCAATTGGTACTCGTGAAATTGCTCCAACTCAACAGGCACTGCGAAGATCAACTCGCAATATTAACCTTCCTTCCAAGTTGAATTTGTAAAAGTCCAGAGACACCCCGGTCCTCAATGCCGATCATTAGTTGTAGTGTATGTATACCATGTAAACGTGATCCCTGTCTAAAACAGAGATCACATTGGTCTCAATTGTCCCTATATAGCTGGGACTCACTTTACCCTATAATATAATGTTTCTTTCAGTTTCAGTTTATAGATTTTTGTTTCTCATTTTGTTTTATATATATATCAAGTGGTTGTATATCATAATTGACATTATTATTGTGTGCTCACTTTACCCTGTAATATAATGTTTTTTTCAGTTTGAGAGAGAGAGAAAGAGAGAGAGAGATAGAGAGAGAGAGGGAGAGAGAGAGAGGGAGAGGGAGAGAGAGAGAGAGAGAGAGAGATCACCATTAGAACTGTATGGTGCTTGTGTTCTTTGTATTATTGTAAAGGGCATTGAGACGATAAGCTATTATTATTATTACTATTATTATTACCATTGTTTTATTATTACTGTTATTATTATTATTGTAATAACTAGCTGCCCGCGTGCCTTTAGTATGACAATAATAAAGTCCACTATATTGACTCCCTTTAGTAAATATGCCTGAGCCTAAATGATGCACAATGTCTCAACCATAGAGAGTCCATACACCACCACTGGTCATCATCATCACTACCTCAGAATTACAAAGTTCTATCTGACATATTTTTTGGCCATTTTGATTTACTAAGACCATATGGTCGGAAAGCAATAAATGCTCTATCAGCTCTATCAAAATAGTAAGAATATTCAGTGTTGTTATCAAGATATTAAGAGAAAAATTGCATTATAAAAAACCTGGACATATTGTGAAACTCAAACATTTTTACGGCAAATTTCTCAAAACTTGGTATTGAGCAGATAGAACTTTTTAATTCTGAGGTGCGAATAATATAGATGCATAGTCACTGTTTTAGTTTAAAAAGTTAGGGATAGGTCTATAAATGGTCGCTTTTAAGCACAACAAGGCTATCCCGAAAAACAGTTTTGAGAAAATCGAAGATAAAGTTTTTGCCCCTTGTTCAGTTTCTTTAAAAGACAAAGAGAGTTTTCTCTCTAACCAAACAAATATACACACAGATGAAACTAAACTTCTCCTATAGGTAGGGCAATGCCCACTTTTTGTGTAGGCAAAGATTTCTGGAAACCTCCGAAATCTAGGCCAGCACGCTTGCAAATAATGTATTAATTTTATTCAAGTGTTATGCCTGTCTGTCTCCAAATGAGGCTCTTACTTAAACCCTTCTTATGTAGGATTCACTAGATATGTGAGGCAGCGTGGTGGAATCAGGCTCTCGTCAAAATAATCAAAGTGAAGAAACCTGCATTTTTCGGCAGGTTTGTGAATTTTTATAATTTTTTGTGTGTTTTGGCTCTACACCTTTCATGCCCATTAAAGAACTCATTTCTGAGTGGATTTTTCTGAAAAATGTTACATTCATCATAAAATGAAAACTACACTTTTTGGAAACATTATATGAAATTTGGCTTAAGTAAAATATCATAACTTCGTGGTGGAATCAGGCTCTCGTCAAAATAATCAAAGTGAAGAAATCTGCATTTTTCGGCAGGTTTGTGAATTTTTCTCGGATTTTAGCCGTATGGAAATTGATACATCAACTTCATAGGTGGAGTTTGTACAATTTGTAAGTCTGAAAAATGTTACATTCATCATAAGAGGAACAACTGAAATTGTATAAATTATATGAAGTTTGATTTTCGGCCAATATCTCAATTCTTTGAGTGCAAGAAATAACTCATTTTGTCAGCACGCCTCACAAATGTTAAATGTTAATACCCAGGTTTTATCTCCTGTTATGATTCTGGCTAAAGATCCGGTTTACTGTCTTTAGAATTTATGGAGCAAATCCATAGGCCTGTCCCCTGTAAGATTATGCGATTGTGTGGCCGCGTTTTTTTGCGTAATTCAGCAACATTTGCATAATTTTCTATTCCCCGCGTTTTTTCTTAATTTTTCACAAAACCGCATCGCCATGTTACTAAAAGGAAGTAATCAATATAATAAGTCTCATTTAAGTGAAAAGTTGGTTATTTCCCTTGTTAGAAGAT